AATCCCATGGACAGAGAAGCCTGGTAGGCTACAGTCCATGGGGTTGCAAAGAGTCAGACGCAACTGAGTGACTTCACTTTCACTTTCACTTTCTTTAGTATTGGAATGAAAACTGACCCTTTTCCAGTCCTGTTGACATTGCTGAGTTTCCAGATTTTGGGCATATTGAGTGTGGCACTTTAACAGCATCCCAGTCCTTGCATCTCTTCATATCTAGAAAATGTCGAAATCTGTTTATGGTGTCATCAGCATCTCATGACTAGTAGAAAAACTTTTGCAAATTAATTGCTTGATTACACTGAACTCCCCCTTCACCAAAATCTTACATATTGACCTTCCCCACTGCCTCTTTGGAGCAGTCTCTAAGTTATCTGAGTTACTGTTTCCCTGTTTGCAGTCCTCATTTTGCCGCAAATAAACCAGCTCTCAACTCTCACGTTGTGCATCTCTTTAGTCTACAGGTGCTATCCTGAGAAAGCATCTGTTTGGTGTCCCTTGCGGTAAAGGAGTTTGCCCTTGAAAAGTGGATCAGTAGTTTGGCTTTATTGTCTTCCTTCCTTCTTTCAGGTCAATACTAGAACATACCCATTAAAACCTGCAGGAGCACCCCCAAGCAGTTGCTAGATACCCTCAGAATAGCTGTGTGCATGTGTGTGTGCTCAGTTGCTTCAGTCGTGTCCAACTCTGCGACCCTATGAACTGTAGCTCACCAGTCTCCTTTGTCCATGGTATTCTCCAGGCAAGAATAGTGGAGTGGGTTGCTGTGTCCTCATCAGAGACTGAACTCATGTCTCCTGCATTGTAGGCAGATTCTTTATTGCTAAGCCATTGGGAAGCCCCCAAAATAGCTGAGAAACATAAAATTGTCTATGTGGGCATTATCTCTTACTTGCTGTTCCTTAACTCTGCTGAGTTATTTTTCTTAGGCTTCCCTTAAACTGTACTGCAAAGTGTTCAGACAGCCAATATAATCAACAATTCAGTCGTCCTCCTGCTAAAGCAGCACGAGATTCAAATGATATTTTTTGATAGATAGCATCAGATTTCAGATTTACATGGGACTCTTCTCAGAATAAGCTTCATGACCTAGGAGGAAATCAGCGGAACATTTTTTGCCTGGATCTTCTTATGAACTCTGCCCTTGGATGTACATTTGAAAGAAGATGATAAAAATTCCTCTCTGAGAGGAACTGATCTGATCCCTGACTAAAATATCTTCAACTCTGAAATTAGGAGAGATCCATGACCAACATGAATGATGGCTTGATCCCAGATGCTGGAGCTTCTAGACGGGGAAAGGGCAAGACTCAGAGCAGAAAGAGGTAACAATTAATCATTGTTGAAACAGAACCAGATGAGGAAGACTCAAAGAGATTCATCTACAAAGTCATTTATCCACTGTTTAAAAGAAAATGTTTATTTAGCCCCTAGTACTTATGACATTGCTTAAAATAAGAAGATGGATGATAACAACAATAGAAAATACTTTCTGAAAATATACATCTCAGTCAGTTTGGGCTGCTATAATGAAATACCACAGACAGTGGTTAAGCAGCATTTATTTCTCATGGTTTTGAAGGCTGGCAATCTGAGATCAGGGCACCAGCATGGTTGCGTTCTTGGTGAAGGCTCTCTTCCTTATATTCCTTATTTTCTTAAATGGCCTTTGCTTGGTGCATGCACAAGACCTCATGTCTTTCCCTCCTTTTAAGGGAGCTCATGTCTCTTTCTCTTTTTGCTAAACCCATCATTCTCATTAAATTAAACAAAATATAAGCTCACAATTCAAAAAAGTCACCAAAAACACAAGAAATAAGTCACTATGAGCAAAAAGTAATCAATATCACCAAATTCAATTTTAATTAGGTCCCTAAGGACTTCAAATTTTGAAATTAACCTATACAGGATGTAAAATATATAGGTACAAAATATATTTTAAATGAAATGTTTTTATTTGATGACTTAGCTATCAGTGTGACCCAGCTACTATGAAAAAAGGGAACATTTTGAAAATTATAACTATTGCTATTATGCCAGTGTCAGGGCTCAAGAGCATAGTAAGTATAGCTTGAAAGACAATATGTAAATGTCTTTTCTGGTGGGAAAAGCTGAAGAAATTATCTAGAATACCCCATAGAGAGACAAGGAGGTGGAAAATATGAGTGATTAAAAGATACAGAGAATAGAAAGAGAAAGTATCATTGCTTGCATTGTCTAACAGAGATCCAGGAGAAGAGAATAGAGAAGGAGATTATTTATGGAGGTAATGGCTAAGAATTTCCCAGAATTGATAACTGACCTGAATCTACAGATGCAGGAAGCACAGTGTATAACAATTGGGATAAATAAAAAGAAACCCATGTAGCATACATGCACTACAGTGAGGCTGAAGAAAAATCAAAGAATCAAAAAATCAAAGATCAAAAAACGTCTTAAAAGTGGCCAGAGAGAGAAACTACATAAAAACTGATGTTGATTTCTCAATAGTAACAGTGGGTGTCAAATGATAGAGAAAAACAGTTTTCAAAGTGCTGCAAGTTAATACTATCAGACTAAAATTGCATGCTAAGTTAAAAACTATCTTTGAACAATGAAGGAAAAATAAATTTAAAAATATTTTCAGAGGAACTTGGGGATTTACCTCCAGCACATCCATATTACAGAACTTTTGTTGTCTTTCAGGGAAGGAGAAAAATGACCCCACTCATAATAAAAACTTTCAGTATAAGAGAAATAGAAGGGAATTTTCTTAACCAAATGAAGAATACGTATCAAAAACCCCTTTGTTTTTTTTTTTTTTTTTTAGTCACTAAGTCTTGTTTGACTCTTCTGCAATCCCATGGACTCTAGCCTACCCAGGAATTTCCCAGACAATAATACTGGAGTGAGTTGCCTCTCCAGGGTGTCTTCCCAACCCAGGGAACAAACTCAAGTCTCCTGCATTGGCAGGCAGATTCTTTACCACTGAGCCACCAGGGAAGCCCATCAAAACCCCTACTGCAATCTTACTGATGATACACTAACATTCTCTTGAAAAGGAGTATCCAAGTAAGGAAGCTGTCACAGGCTGTGTTGCATAGGAAGCAGAATCTGAGAGAGGTCGACATACAAAATGCTTGTTGGGGAGTTCTTCTGAGATCGATATATGTGGAAGGGAAAGGAAAAAAGCTGGCTTAGGCAGAGAGAGAAATTGAGCTAGGAAATATTTCTAATGAAGACCTCAACTAAACTCACAGAGTTTTGGAGCCAGAATGACCTCTGGGTCTTTATACTATCTTGTCAGTCAGTCATTGGATGAGGGTTGGTCCTGGGAAGAACCATACCTTGAGCATGAGGGCTGTCTTCCCAAGGTGATCCCCAGAAAGGACCCACAACTGAAAACCATTTTCCAATAGCACTCCCAGCAACCATGATAATGACTCTTTGATTCTCAAAGAGTTGTCTGGATAGTACATTACATTATCCACCACATATTCCCATTAACACAATTTTATTCAATATTATATAGAATTTTTCCAAAGAAGACATAAAATACAGTCAATAGGCACGTGAAAAAAAAGTTTAACAGCTCTAATTATTAGTGAAAAAGAAAAATGAGATATCACCTTATATGCATGAGAATGGCTATTATAAAAAAAAAAAAAAGAAAGAAATGGCAAGCATTAGTAAGGATGTGGAGAAAAGAGGACCCTCATACACTGTTGGTGGGATGTGATTGGAGCAGCCACTATGGAAAACAGTATTAAGACTCTTCAAAAAATTAAGAATAAAACTACCATATGATTTGGCTATTCCACATCTTGGAATTTATCTGAAGAATATAAAACACTAATTTAAAAAGATGTATATATCCTTATGGCTTCCCTGGTGGTTCAGCAGGTAAAGAATCTGCCTGTAATGCAGTAGACCCTGGTTCAATTCCTGGGTCAGGAAGATCCCCTGGAGAAGGGAACAGGTACCCACTCCAGTATTCTGGCCTGGAGAATTTCATGGACAGAGGAGTCTGGCAGGCTACAGTCCATAGGGTCACAAAGAGGCAGACACAACTAAGTGACTTTCACTATGCACCCTTATGTTCACCACAGCATTATTTGCAATATAAGTGCCCATCAATAGATGAATGGATAAGCATGATGTGGTATATACATATATAATATTCTTTAGTCATAAATAAGAATAAAATCTTGCCATTTGTAGCAACATAATTGGACCCAGAGGTTATTATGCTAAGTGAGATAAGTCAGATGGAAAAGGAAAAATGCCAAATGATTTCACTTACATGTACGTTATAAAAAATAAACTGACCAAAAAATAATCCAGACAAAACAGAAGCAATACCGATACAGAAAACAGAATACTGATTACCAGTGGGAAAGGGTGGGTTTGTTGAAATGAGTAAAGGAGGTCCAACTACATGGTGATGGGTGAAAACTAAATTTTTGGTAATGAGCACACTATTTTATATACAGAAGTTGAAATATAATGTTTTACATGAAACATATATATATACATATGTCTATGTATTCTAGACATCTAAGCAGTGCTGTAAGACAATAAAAAATAGTTATAAGGAGATAATAAAAAGTGATTAAGAAAGTGGCTGGACATGAGATTAAAATACAAAAATCAGTTGCATTCCTAAACACTAACCAAAACAGAATTCTTACATCAGATGGTAGGTTCGTGGACATTCTCTTGGCAATTATGCTTTACAAGTTGCATGTATATTACAAGTACTCTTTTGTATGCATCAAATATTTTGAAATTTCAAAAATCTTTTTAAAGAAAGAAAACCCTGCATCATGAGAGATACTGGGTAAGTGCTGCAGTGGAAAGACTAGAAGGGGCTTCATGAAGAAGCTGGATGAGAACCTGACCTTGAATTACAAATAGGATTTGAAGAACAATGAAACTAATGAGTGGCAAGTGGCTGAAGAGGAGGTAGAGTCCCTCCTACCACCCAGTGTAGTGACAAGGTAGTGCTTAAAACTTTCTTAGGGCAAAAGTGCAGCCTTTTTTAAAATGAGGAAAGAGACCTGCACTTATTTCTGCCTGTGAGGGGGGGGCAAGCCTTGGGAAACCCCAAGTGGAAGGGCAAAAAGAAGAAAAAAGGAAAAGCCGACCAAAAAGAAAAAAATAAAAAAATAAAACCGAAGCCAAACCCAAGGACCAAGAAAAAGTCCAAAACTCCAAGAATTTAACAAAAAAAAACCTAAAAACACCTTAATTAACAATAACAAAAATGCCAAGTCCTTGGCAAAAATGCCGGGGTGCAAAAAAAAAAAGTTAAGGAATGGAAAACCAAAGGTTTTGCCTGCCACCCACTTTTTTTCAAGACACTATACACGAATTTTGCTTAGAATATCCCCTCCTAATTTTTGACCTTGTAATTTGGAAGGGGTTTTTCCCCATTACCTCCAGGGATGAACAGTTGACCCAGGCCTGGACAGTCAAGTCATCATTTTCTTCCAGTTAGCCATAGTGATGCTTCAAGCTAGGAACAAGGGGGAAAAGAGACAAAAAGACACAATCTGAGGTTTTTCTAGGACTGAGGAGAGAGAGAATCATTTCTCCTATTGGGGTTACTGAAGGCCTAGGATCTATGTCTGGTGCTAATGGTGGCCATCTTGTCACCATGAAGGACCAGATTGCCAAAGAAGAGAGTGAAAGCAGAGCCAATAGATGGAGAGGAACCGTCACCTGATAATGGGTATTCTACTGTTTACACTGAATGAAACTTCACTAATGAACCTGGGGTGCTTTGAGAAAGTTCTTCAGTGTTGAATTGGGAGAGGCAATGTGGTGTGGTGGAAGAAGTCACAGAGCCCTGATTCAGGTTTTCCTCTAGAACAAAATCACTGTAGTGCCCTAGAAAAATTAACACCCTGTGCCTAAGTTTTCTTATCTCTAAAATAGGGAGTAATGATGGTACATATCTTCTAGGCTGTCAAGATTAAATGTGATAACAGAGTGCCTGACATGCAGAAAGCACACAATAAATATCTAATATTATCTATTATTTTTCCTATTAGCATTCTCACACACTGACTTTTCTACCTTCTGCCACTCTGCCATTTGCCTTACTTTTCTTCACATAAAATTATTTATTTCATATAAAATTATTTATTTCATATATACTAGCAGAGAGAGAGATTATTGATCTAGTCTCCAGGACAAATAAAAGCAATTTAGGCCTGAAATAAGACAAAGAAACGTAGTTTCTTGCCAAGGAAGATTCTAGCAATGACTGTTTAGTCATCTGACTCTCAGATGACAGCCCTGAGAGTTTCCTTTGACATTGTCAGTCAAGCTTCACTTCAGCTTAATCTGATTGTTACGACTCCAGAGAACTTGTCTGGAAGTTGGGGAGGGTTAATAAACCATACCTCATGACCCCTGTGATTGTGTGGACACCTAACACTTGTCATGTTGGCTGTGTCTGGATACAATCCAGGTTAACTAAATGCTAACATGTTATGAAGAAGCTGGAGCTTTGGGATAGCAGTGCCATGCAAATGTTCCTATTTTCCGAAGAGGGATGAGAACTAAAACCCTCAAAACATAGAATGCCTGAATGGAGGGGACTAGGCAATACTCAGAGCCCAAAGTAAGGAACTTGCCCAGAGTCTCTTATTTAGTTAAAATTACACACCGCTTTGCAGTACTTTCCTCTGCTGGAATAAGGAGGAAATTTGAGCCCAGGATGCCAAATAGATCTTAGCTGACATTCTGGCTCTAAACAGTTGTTGGAGTTTGGAGCAGCATTGTATTATGAAGTTTGGCTTTAGAAGAAAATAGTTCTGTAATCAATTAGCAGTGCCTGCCGTGGAAAACAGCCACAAGTTTACTGACCTTGAAGACTGGGCCAGCAGGTGGTTGCAGCCAGGGTGGGGGTGGGAAGGTCCAATATTAAGTTGGGCTTATTGTACTCTCTCTCCTTCTTCCTCGACAGTCCCTCTCTTTCTAGTGTCCTATAGTGTATTTGATTTTGCATGTGGTCATAATGACTGTAAATCATCACTCCAGGTTACTCCCCATCCTACCTGTGATAAGAAGGTAAGTTTCTAAGTCAGGTCCTGGGCTAGCCAGAAAATAGCTTTTTGTTTGTTTTTCCTCTTATAGAGGGATATTCACCTGCTCAGATAGATATCGCCCCAGGGCTCAAGACCAGCCTGCTGCAGAAGCCTATTGTTTCCTTTCCTTTGAGGTAAAGATAGCCGAAATTCTAGAACATAGGAGAGGCTTCTGGGATCATCTGGTGAGATCTGATTTTACAAATGAGGAAGCTGAGGCTCAGAGCAGAAAAGCAGGCTGCCAGTCTTTCCATAGTGCCATATTCATTTGCTTTATTATTTTTCCCACTTTATATCCTCAGTTATGGCCATCAATTTTCCCACGTTGAATCTTTTGGGAAAAAAAAAATTAATGGCATGTGACATACTGCAAGTTTAGCAGAGGAAGCAGCATAAATACAAAGTGACCATCACTCACTTATAGCTCAAAAGCAAATAACAGAAAGTGACAAAAGACTTGAAATGGTGGTGATGGTATGTGGTGCTAATGGTAAAGAACTGCCTGCCAGTGCAGGAGATATAAGAGACATAAGTTCGATCTCTGGGTCAGGAAGATCCCCTGGAACAGGACATGGCAACCCACTCCAGTATTCTTACCAGGAGAATCCCCATGGACAGAGGAGCCTGGCGGGCTACACAGCCCACGGGGTCGCAAAGAGTCAGACGTGACTGAAGTGACTTAGCATAGTGCACACAGCAGAGTATTATTCTACTAAGGTGTGTGTCCCATTTCCAAAGTCCCATCAGAATTTTTTTCAAAGACAGAATGTAAACTATTTTTTTATTTACAATATCTGCTAAAGGCAATAAATAAATATATTGATAATTGTGCATTTTAAAAGTTTTGATAGTTTTGCTTTTGAACAAAAATGTATTGAGCCCCTACTCTGTGATAGTAATATTGCTAGGTATTAGTAAGACAGAGATGAATAAAGCACAGTCCCAGATTTGCAAAGCTTATGATATAGTTGGGAACACAAGTGGACTGAAAAGTACAGTGCAACATGAAGAAAATTATAAGTGTGTATGGAAGGTACAATAATGGCACAGAGGATGGACAGACTAACTTTGGAAGGCAGCAGGAATTTTTTAATAAAAAACATCTGAGCTAGGCTTTGAAGGATAAAGAGGAATTCTTTAGCAGCTCTTGTACACTGATTTACTCAATAAACTTAATAGCACAAGACATGCCAATTACCATATTAGGTAATGGAGGCTGAGGTACATAAGATAGAGTCCCTGGCCTCTCAGAACTCATAGACTGGATAAGAGGTAAGTATATAAACAAAGAATTACGTTACAATATATTGAGAGCAAGAGTCATTGAGAGAACCCAAGACAGTCATAAGGAAAGCCGCATTGAGGAAAGGACTCAGTGGGCACTTTCTCTCTGTGCTGGTAATACTCCTTTCAGGAAATACTTATCGGTCATTATGACAGCAATGGAATATCAACAGGAAAGTAACTATATTTGCAACAGAATTAATGAGAAGATAAGGACACTGAAAAAGTGATAGAAACCTAAGCTATCAATATCCATTTAACAAAAAAATTTTAAGCTCCTACCATGTGCTAGGCGCCATAGTAATTTGTGAACATAGAAGAAAGAGGAATATCAAGTGCCCATAAAATAAAGGGGTTAATGGCATGGATGGTGGAGTCAGCCTGCATGGGTTCAAATCCAGTTTTCCCAACCTGCTAGCTATGAGATTTTGGACTAGTTGTTGAATCTGTCTGTACTTCAGTTTCCTCATTTGCAAACAGTGGATAACAAAAGAACTCTGGTTATTGTGGTATTGAAAATAATAAAGCAGGCAAAGGGCTCAGATTAGTCCTGGACTCATGGGAAGTGTTCGGTCGAAGTGCTGCCAGTGAAGAAGATGATCGGGGCGAAGATGATAAACAGATGCTAAATTTGAAGAACCTTGTAATAAATCTGAACTTTTTATTCAACCATTAAAGCCATGAAGAGGTTTTAAAAAAGTGACATGATTCAAATTAAATTTTTAAAATATTTTTATTAAATAAATTTTAATAATACAAAAGCAGAGAACATACTTTTAATGTAGTCTCATATTCATACCACTCAGATTCCACAGATATCTAGATTTTGCCATATTTTCTTCCTCTACCAATTTTTCCTCTGCTTATGAATTTCAAAGTATCATAGAGCAGTCACAGACATAACTGAATCCTTACATACCTACAGATGCAACTTGTAAAGATATGGATATTTTCTGACAATCCTACCAGCCATTTTCATACTTAACAGCATTGTTAATCCCTTGGTATTATCTAAAACTCATTCTATATTCAATTTCTGCAGTTGTCTCAAATGCCTTCTTAGTTGGTTGAAATCAGGATCTGAACCATGCCTATGTATTACATTCAATTGTTAATCCTCTTTGTTGTTTTAATGTTTCTTTCATACCACAGTTTAAAAAAAGAATTAGATTTGTCTTTTTGCTTAGTTATGGTGTCATTTAGCTTGTTCCTCTATACTACAGTTTTCTTATAAGTTGAAAGGTAATGGAAATTTTTATTAGATTTGCATTCAGCAGATTTTCACAGGAATATTTTATAGTAGTGTGCCAATTATAAGTGCTTTTCGTCATAAATTGTCAGGTCTGCTTCTGGGTATATGGTAGAATAGCACTTCCTTGCCCCACCAGGTGGTGCTAGTGGTAAAGAACCCACTTGCCAATGCAGGAGACAAGACAAGTTCCATCCCTGGGCTGGGAAGATCCCTTAGAGGAGGACATAGCAACCCATTCCAGTATTCTTGCCTGGAGAATTCCATGGACAGAGGAGCCTGGAAGGCTATAGTCCATGGGGTCTTCAAGAGTCAGACACGACTGAAGTGACTTAGCATGCATGCACATGATCATGTGACTTGCTTCAGTTAATCAAATAAGAGTGGAAGCAAAATGTGTCTGTTCCTGGGAAGAGCTCGGAGAGCCAGTATATGATTTGCCTTCTTCTTTTTCTTCTGCCAGTGTGATCGTGGGAGGCCATATTGAGATGCATTCCTATCAGCCTGGATCCTGGTTGGGTAAGTAACCACTTTAGTTATATTTGTTATTGCAACATAATCTTGTCCATTTTGACCAGTATATTGCATCAGATCGTAAAGTGCCTAATGTCTAGATGTTCCACCTATAGTATTTGGTTGGTATATTCACCCTTTTCAATCATGCATGGAACATTTTCCAGGGCAGATCATATGCTGACCATAAAATATCTCAATAAATTTAAAAGAATTGAAATAACACAGTGTGTTCTCCAACCACAGAAGAATTAAATTAAAGATCAACTGCAGAAAGAAATTTGAGAAACCACAAATATTTGCAAATTAAACAACACATTTCTTAATAACTCATGAGTCAAAGAAGAAATCACAAGGGAAAGTTGAACTGAATTAAAATTAAAGCATGATATGTCAAAATTTATGGGATGTAAGTAAGGCAGTGCTAAGAGGGAAATATATAGCTTTAAATACCTATGTTAAATAAAAATTATCTCAAATCAATAACCAAATTTTTCACCTTAAGAATCTAGAAAGTGAAGAGCAAAGCAAATACAACATAAGGTGAAGAAAGTAAGTAATAAAGATTAGAGAGCAAAGCAATGAAATATAGAACAAAAAGTTAAGTAAATCAATGAAATCATAAGTTGAATGTCTGAAAAGATCATCAAAATTGACAAACCTTTAGGCAAACTAAGGAAAAGGCAAGTATCATCAAATCATGAATGAAAGAGAGGAAATCAGCATAAACGCTACAGAAATTAAAAAGATAAGAGAAGACTGTGAATAGCTTTGTACCAACAAATAGACCAAATGAAAAAATTTTAAATTCTTAGACACAAACTACCAAAACTGACCCAAGAAGAAATAGAAAATCTGAATAGATCCACAACAAGTAAAGAAATTGAATTAGTAATTAAAAATCTTCTGAGAAAAAAACCTAAGCCTAGATATCTTCATTGGTGAATTCTATCAAATATTTAAAGATTATAATAGCAGTTCTTCACAAATTATTCCAGACAATACTGAAGGAAAGAACATTTTCCAACTTACTTTATGAGACCAGTATTACTCTGATACCAAAGCTAAAGACATAATACAAATAAAAAAATTTAGGCCAATATCCCCAATATTGGAGAAGGAAATGGCAACCCACTCCAGTATTCTTGCCTGGAAAATCCCATGGATGGAGGAGCTTGGTAGGCTACAGTCCATGGGGTCACAAAGAGTTGGACACGACTGAACAACTTCACTTACTTTTATCCCCAATATAGACATAAAAATCCTCAACAAAATATTAGCAAACCATTCATATCATAAAAAGATGAGACATTATGATCAAATGAGAATTATCCCAGGAAAACAAAACTGGTTTAGCATTTAAGGGGATGAAAGCTTAAATCCCTCCATTGTAATTTTCTTCATCAACCTTTAAACCAATGATTTCATCCAATGATGATCATTATCTGAATCAATTATTTCATTAAGAATTGAAAAATGATGAGTTTCTAATGCTATCCTTCCTAACACATTTATTAGTTAGAATCCCTCTATAAAAGATAAAAATTTCTCTCATCATCAAGGGTTGTTATGCTACTTTGGAAAACGGTTCTTCCAGGAAAGGCAGGATATATATATATGATTCTTTCACTTTAATCACAACCTTGTGGAGTAAAGTGTGACCTAGTTACATCTAACTGTGTTTCCAATGATGTGTTTTTCACCTTCTTCCTTTTTTTCCCCCCTTCCTTTTATTTTCACTTTCTCTTTTTTTGAGTATCATTATGAATTTATGGTTTTTATATATTAAATGTGTTTTAATTAATTTTAGTCATCATTCTGTTGATGCATAAATTGTCCTGCTTTAGCCAGTGGGAAGTCCCTCATGTCAGATCTTTGTCTTTTTAACTGGACCTAATTACTCTGATAGTTTCCTTACACAGTAATATATCCCCAGTTTAATTTTTCTGTTTTCTGCTGTTTCCACCAGCATCTCTGCTTTCTTTCAGTGGGAAGATGTTTAGACACCACAGTCTGGGTCTTAGGCTTAGTGTCCGTTTTAGTGGACAATTAGGAATTAATATTTTTGAAAAAGAAGCACAAGTTCATACTGATACTTGCAATTTGTTTTGAGAGCATTATGCTGTGTGAAATAAGTCAGAAAGAGAAAAACAGGTACTGTATGCTATTACTTAGACATGCAACCTATAAAAGTTGGATGTGTAAAAACACAGAGTAAAATGATGGTTATCAGGGGATAGGAGTGGGGAAACTGGGAGATATTGTTAAAGGGTACAAATTTGCAACTAGTAGATAAGTTCTGGAGATCTAATGCACAGCATAGTGATTATAGTTAACAATACTATATTATAAACTTTGAAGTTGCTAATAGACTAGATTTTTATAGTTCTCAACACAAAGAAATGATGATTGCTACGTTACTATAGTAATCATATTGCTGTGTATAAAAGTATCAAAACAACTCATTATACCTCTCAGACTTATAAAATGTTGTGTCAATTATATCTCATTTAAAAATCAAGATATTTGTTAACTTCTAAAATAATAATTCTCTTACTTTGCTAAAAACTTTGTCCTAAAAACATTGATTACTTGTTTCATGCTACAATATATAAAAAGTATTTCCAAAAGTAATAATATTGTTATAACATACTATATTTATATTTTTATGAATTAGATTACATGCAAAATGTATTGTTATATTTATAGTGTAAAATAATATTACTATATAATATTACTATATTTGCAATATAAGAAATTTTCATTTTATAGGTCAACAGTGGCCAAATATTGGCAATTTTGTATGGTTCCACCTAATACTAACAATAAAACTACTGAATGAAGTCCTAAGATTTATTTGCAGCTTTTCTTGGTTTTAAAATATATTTCACAAGAATGTAAAGTCAAAACAATTTTATGGAAGTTACTTGAAATAATTATTTTCTTTGTGTAGTTAATAAACATTTGTTTTTATTTTTTTGTTTCAATTTGTGTTCAATTTTCAGAAATGTCTTATTTTATTTTATTTTTACTTAATGTTATTTTTTGAGTGTGTAAACATTATGTGATTCCAAAGTGAAGATTTTTAAGAGAACATTCAGAGAAATTTTGCTGCCAACCTATGTCCTCTATTGTGCACTTCCTCCTTTTTTATTTTTATAAGTATTTGTTTATCTTTCAAATATAAGCAGGTAGTATATAAATATGTATGTATGAATGTTGTGCTTTTCCCTTTCTTATACTGTTCCGCAGCTTTCTTTATTCTCATGAAAATATCAGATTAGCATTTTGAAAAGATCACTCCTTCTGTAGGCAGAAGAGACTGGAAATAGACATTCTACTGGAAATAGGGAGGCATATTAAGAGGCCACAATGTTGGTGGTGGTTGGGTGGTGCAGGGGAGATGGAGAGAAGCGGACACTGGAGGTGAATTTTGGAGGTTGGACGTATAGGACCTAGGTATTGTTTGGATGTAAGGAGAACCTACAACTTTGTGCAGGAAATCCAAGCCACCCCCCTGGTCATATTTATATTCCCAGTGGTATGAAATTTTCTTTTCTTTTCTTTTTTTTTCTATTGAATAGAATAGTAGACCATATCTATACTTGTTTCTTTTTTTTTTAAGTTATTATAAAAAATTTTAAACATACATAAAGTAGAAGAGTATACTGAACCCTAACATATTAATCACAGAGATTCAGCCATTATCAACCTATGGTCTATCTAATTTTTTCTATATTTCCAGCTACTCTTATCACCCTCCACCACCCCTAAGAATATTTTGAAGCAAATTCTGGGAATCTTATCATTTTACTTGTCTATTCCAGCGCCTTAGGGAAGCATTGTTATTCAAATTCCACTGTTCCTTTCTCTGATACCTGCCACTCTGCTAACTGACTCATTAAAGTTCATTCCTTATAGTAAGGCTTTGATTCCTTTAAAAATTCAGCACAGCTTGTGTTTCACATAGATACCCAATGCACAGTTTGACTTAAAAATAGAATCCCTTTGCTTGCTGGATGGTAGTAGCTGGTGGAGAAAAAGGTCAATTATAATGGTGACTTATTCATCCACAAACACTCCCTGGAACCCAACTTCCCCATGAAAACTCTGCGGTGTGGTTGGCACTAGAAGCCCTAGCCAAATGCTCTTGTGGTATAAGGTTCATGGTGTGTCAGTTCTCCTAGAGAAGCTTCCTGACTCATGACAACCAGTCAGCCTCTCCTTTCTGAAGACTTCCTACTGAGCTGTGACTCAGAGATAACTATCTGCTCTTGTCACCAAACACTTGGACTGAGTGTGTTACAGCGTATAAACTTGCTTAAGTGGAAGGCCTTTCTTCCCACTTAGAGTCTTCATTGTCATGACTTGCGGCCTGAAGCTATCCTGACTTTTCTCAATGTCCTTTGCACCAGTGTCTGTTTATTGCGCTAGCACGTCTGTAGGAGTTACCATGCAATGCTCAGTTACTGGCAGTTTTCCTAACCTTCCTCAGAACTAAAATAGAGACCATTTTACTACCTATTTCCTAGTGTCAATGTGATGATTAAAGATAGTACCTAAAGATACTAGCACCATGTCTCAGACACACTGTTGTTACTGCTTTAATGTATCTCATGGATACTGACTTTATCTTCCTTACTTACTCCATGTTCTGTGTGAACCCTCTTTCCTGTCTACTTTGGTTATTGTTACTATAGGGAGTAGAGACGTCTGACCAAGAAAAGATTCTTGATCATTGTCAGTCTCAATATTCTGAAATGTAAAATGGGATTTTAACGTGTTGTGTAAAATGTTTTATGGGTTAAACCAAGAAATGGGTATAAAAGTGATGGCACAGCAGCACTGTGCCTGGCACGTAGTAAGTATTCAGCAAAGACTTGGGGGCATCGTCAGAGCCTTGGCTGAGTCACCAACTGGGATGGGGTATGTCTGTCTCCTCAGGTTGAAAAGATTTAGGTGTCATTCCTCAGGTGGGCAGAGAGAAACAAGCTTTTCCTGCCAGT